TCTTTAGATAGAGAACACTAAACAATTCGCCACTGGATAATATATAAGATCTACACGAGTAAATTCGACCGTCTAATTTAAAGTCAGTACCGAACTAATTTTGAGATGAAAATACTGATGCTGGTACTATCTCGGAAAGGCGTTAATACATCTTCGGCGCGCCCTTTTTGAGGAACCTTCGAATACCCATCAAATGCATATTTTGCTGCCCCAATTGGCCGAAGGTTCCTTCCCAGATCCCTAGACTTGCTTTCACCCTTGTTTCTGGTCCTTATCCGGGGGCTTCAGCATGTCCTATTTATTATTTAGCCAATTTCCAAACCCTTCCGTGTAAATCTTACTTCTTTTTACCCATTTGCTGAATAACATTCGCAATCTACCTTAACTAATACAAATGATGCCGAATCATAGGATTGCAACCGCCGCCTAGAAATGATGAAATCTTTATTTCTTCATTCATTTGTCTATTTCTATTTAACTCTAGGAACGGAAAGATAATCCTATTTCTATCATTTTCAGACATTCATCTCGTGAACATTTGGATTCTGATTTTAAAACATATATTTAATACTTTTAATTTTCAATTTAAAACCTCTAGCGAGGGATGATTTAATTTTACTTATTTCGTTAAAGCATGCCTACGTGCTTTTTCTGCGTTGTTTATTTTGAGATATCCTAGAGATTTTACAACTGGTACCACTCTGTCAAATAGAGTTTTTGATAATAAGGATGGTTTGTTCTACCCTCGTTTATGTGACTTTAAATTATTTAGAAAGATTGTATTATTTGCTTAGTTAGTTTCTCAGGATATACATACTTTTAGAGAGTTTTATGTGTCTTGAATATCATTGAATTATTTGCTTAGGCCTTTTTAAAATTCGTTTGCTATATGTCAGCTTCTTAACTTCGTAAACTGAAAATGGTTCCATCTTGGGAATAACAAACAAAAGATAAAATTTTTACCAAGCTTGATATTCTATTACACAGCAACTAACAGACAGGTTTGCACGCCAGGCCAGAGCAGGATGAATATAAAGGGATATACTGCAAAATAAATTACTTATTATTGAAAGTTAAATATCGTCATTATTCACCATTTCTAGCAAAGCAGGAACATGCAAAGCGTGATTAAGCTACAAAAACTACTACAATGCATTCTCGATTAAAACCTGTAGTACTTGTTCTACTTCTATAGAGATAGGATTCCTTTCTAGTTGAAAAATATTTAAGCAAAAACATCCAGCAAGCCACAATTATTCATCTACATGTAAGTTTACTCTAGATTAGCCAGTGTACAGACTGATAGTCTTATTGGCATGAAATCCATAAGCGTGGCGAATCCACATCCGTAGGTATTCACAATGTTTTTATGTTCTTGATGCGCATATTTTTTGATATACAGGGTGTCTCAGAATTAAATGCAAGTATTTGAACCGATAGTATATTTCGGCCTCAGAAACACACATTTGAAATTTGTGAAAAAATTTTTTGGAATTTTCTTTAGTTTTAAATTAAAAAACATAATTTCTTGATAATATGGCAACATAGGTAGTAGATTAAATTGACATGAAAGAAAATCCAGAAAAGATCCAGTCAAAATTTAAGCAAAGAGGCATTTAAAGTTCAAAATAACCGAGTTATTTTTGATAGTAAAGTATTAAATAATTCTGGCGATTCAAAAAAAAACAAATATTTAATACTTTACTATCAGAATAGTAACGAAAATAAAATAAAAAAGTTATCTAAAAGTAAGTATACTATAAAAGTATCCTATAAAATAAAAAAAGTATAAGTAAGTAACTTCTACGCACTGCGCTATGGAGACATGTTCGATCTATATTCAATACTAGAATTTAAAGGGCTAATAAAAAATAGGATCTTCTTTCAATGCGCAGTAGGGAACGCAACGTTTACCGGCAGCCAGACGGGCTGCATACTGTTCCAGAGAGCATAGTAAACGATATATTAAAGAGCCAGCTTTCTTAAGCTGCGTGTAAATATGTCGAGACGAGTGCGAGAGACACCCGAGACGAGTCAACCTCAAGCGAATTTGAGGTTGACTCGTCATATTTGGACGGGATCTGAGCTTCGAGCCGAGCCTATGCCCAGCCGGACGGCGTTGCCTCCGTTTTTTCCGGAGCCTTTGGCGAACCATCAAAAAGGATTGCAGCGTCTATTTGAACCGAAGTGGCGTATACACCGTGTCTCCGCGGAACAAGTGCCTCCAGTCTCAGGGCTCGGATTCCACATCCATTTTATATAAAATAAATATTCTTTCCTTTATTTGTAATATTTAATAATGCATCTAACTAGAAAGATGCAATTTTGTCTTCTCTAAAATAGTGAGTAGGATTAACTAAAAGTAGGTAAATCATATAAAAGATTTATATTAGTTTCTTTATAAAAAACATAGAAATTTATGAGAAAAATGAATAAACGTAATAAAACGTAAAATAAAAACTTTCGTCGAGTTAATGCAGCTCAAACGTAAATTATGCGCTATTTCTGCTGAACGATTAAAGATGTAAAACAAGCTTCTTTACATAATATAGGATACATAGAAGATAAAGAGAGCAAATCGAGTGTGTTGAAAAAAGGTAATACCATGCTATCAGAAGTTCCGTACGGTACTCTCATAAATAAAGGGAATCGACAAAGGAACGATCCGATATAGAAAAATCCAGAAATTTTTAACTATCAGACTACTAAACTTAATTTATGGCAAATATGAAAATAATAAAGTTCCGCCATGAAATAATTAAAAAAACTCTCCGAGGTGTTCAGAAAGCACATTACGGCGAAGGTTTAATAAACTGGGAATTAGATTTAAAATTATATACATATTAATAATTTAGAGAAATTATTAATAAGCGTGCTGCAATGATGAAGCCATAGAATATGTGGCAGATGAATAACTTGAAAAAATATATACAACAGAAATGAAGAAATGCAGATATATTATTTACAATATGTTCCAGGTTAGTTATTGGCATTTAAATGTAGATTTAAATTAATTTAAATCTTAATTACTTAAAGTTCTAATTTTTTAAATAAATAAAGTCGAATTAGGTCTTATCTTACAGCGCTTTCAGATGGAACGGAGCACGTCCGCGACGGACCGTCCACGACTTCGAGCAAAGTACCATGACTTATGAACAATTTCTCCTGGGTCGCGTATGCTACTCCGTCTGGATGAGCTATCTTGAAAAAACATCCGTGCGGACGCTCTGCGCGTACGGTCCGCTCCATCTGAAAGCGCTGTTACTCTATTTAAAAAATTTATAGATATACAAACCACATACAGCTCTCGTATTGAATAAAATAATTAAGACTCAAAAAAACAGCTGACACTAGCAGAAGGCTCCGCCGCCGCCGCTGCCGTGCCGTTATCTCAAGGCTTATCTCAGTCCCGGCGTTCTCCGGTTTTTAATGTAAACAGTCGAGCCTCAATTTAAATTTATCATGAATTCCTTTAATTTATCTAGCTTGTTTTTTACCTATTTTTAAATTAAACAAACATACAGGGTGTTTCAAAAACATGTTTCACCTCTCGTGGGGAAGTTCCTCACGTAATAAGATTTATTTTTTATATCAACCAATCCAATTCTGCTTTGATTCGTAGCTACAGGGGTTAAAAAGGGTTCCCAACCGTCCTATTCCAGAAACAGTCCTCTTTTTGATCTGATTTGTCCTCACTTTCTCTCACGTAGAAAACTTTGTTACATACACCAACTTCAAAATCTAAAAAATATTCGTTTATCGCCACAATGCTTTAAAGATTGTTAATCTGTGTCTTTATGTAATTTATGTTTACTTACTGTTAGTTTATGTCATGGAAAAAGTTTTGTTGACAATGGTTTGCTTTTATTTTAATAAGTTTTGAGTATAAATATTTTTTGTTTGTTTTAAATATTTATCGCATACCGTTTATATAACTTTTTGTAAATTCTCGACATTTGAGCGACGTTTCTAAAAATGTTTTCGCCTGTGCCTCTTTTATCCTCTCGCCCCTATTTTTTTATTTCAAAGTTGCCAACCCTAGGTTAGTGTTTTATCATTTTCTTCAAAAGTGCTTTTAGTAATTTGAAATCGTTTGATGACTGATTTAGTTCTAATCCTGGTAGTTTTTGTATAAAACAATTGCCACCATCGTCGATTTTTTCATTAAATGCGAATAAGAAAATATCTGATTATATTCTGGCCTTATCCATTATTATTTTATTTACAAGCGATCTTAAATTTATAACATATACATATATTTTATTAACATTAGGGTAGTTTTACCAATTGTATATATTGTGGAATTCCACACTGATATGTGTTTTAAGTTGTTTTGGTTTTGGTTTAAATTACTTGATTGTGCTAGCTCTCTTAACTTTTGCTTAGTGTCCTGAAGATGCAAAATAAATTTTTTGCGAAACGTCGATTTAAAACAAAGGACTTGTATTGATTTTTTTCGATCTAATCAATTAAAAAACACAGTATACTTAAATTTATAAATGATTTTTTAAATATTGAATGGTATCGAATAATACTTTAATATATTTATCAATATTTTAAAGTATCGATACTATATTCAATACAAACCGATACCAAAACATATCGATACTGCCTCAGTATCGCATAGCCCCTATGAAGAATTTTGTGGGTTCGCCAAAGGCTCCACGCGAAAATGGATAGCCGCGAGACAACGCCGTTCGACTGGGCAGGGACTCTGCTCGAGGCTAAATCGCTCGGCTCGAGGCTATAATATGACGAATTCCGCTTGAGGTTGACTCGTCTTCTCCTCGTCTCGGCATATTAGTACGCCTTTTGGAAAGAATTTGCTATAGCCTCGTTTCATACTCGTTTCGGGTTTGTCTCGTACTTGCCTCGGCATATTTATACGCGGCTTTAAAATACTTGTTTTCCCGACGTTGCTAGCTCTCGTACTAAGAGATTTAAGTCGTTTTAAAACTGACTTGTTGCAGCTCCTGCCTTTAACTATAAATCACTTCCAGGTAGAAAATTCTCTGAGCACTTACGAGCCGCATGCATGTATCGTCGTCTACTCCATCACGGCCAGATCCACGTTCCAGACCGCTGAGGATATACTGAACTATTTATGGAAAGAGGACTGTATCAAAGATAAGAGTGTCATCGTGGTGGGAAACAAAGCTGACCTCGCCAGATCCAGAGTCATCAGTCAGAATGGTAATATTGCTGTTCTTTTATTATTTCGATCGATAAAGACGTGTACGTGTCCCATATACCCATATACATTTCGAGCCTCAACTTTATGACCGACCCTGTATACTTAAATTTACTACTAGCAAATAGACATTAAATGTCTATTTAATGTCTATTTGCTAATAGAGGGTTCTTAAATTTTAAAAACTCTCTAACTTTTATATTTAACTTTTTGCGGTACCTTGTATATTTTACCTAATAATCGACTGTTCCCATATAGTCTGTCCAACGAGAAGATCCTTGACATTGATAGATGTGTCTGTCATTTTAATTTCAAAGTAGTTTATTTTATTTTACAAAGATATAAGTTGGTACAACTGGAACGCATAGCAGGATATATTTTTTAAAATACAAGTGATTACTTCAAAATATTGTGAAAAAAACTGTATAAAACTGAAAAAATGTAATCGAGTTATTTCATTTAATAAAAACCGTATGTGTTAATACAAAACAAATAAGAACAAGACACTACATACCAAAAAAATATAAAAAAGAAGCTATTATTATTTACTTTTCAAGCTTTATGAAGAACTACCCACATTTGCATGATTATGTTTATCAATATAACTTATGTACAAATACAAATTGTAATATTCCACAGGAATAAATAAAACAACATAGGTAAATAAAACAAACTATTTTATTAATAATAACACCTACCAAATTTTATGCATAAAGGTTAATTAACTGGCTCTCTTAATTTTTAAACCAGTACCTTTTTGACATTATTTTCTGCAGTACTAAAATCCATTGTTACCTATCGTGTGATGTCGATATTTTACAACTCTCAGTTTTTAGTATGTGTGTTTAGTTTGATCCTTCTACCATATACGAGATACTTATCTACGACGAAATGGTATACAAACTTTATCGATGGCAACTTCATTGGTGTATAAGACTTTCTGCCTGGGCAGCGAGTATTAAACATAAACTGTGCTCTGGGTCTACAGTTGAGTTTTAACTCGTTTTCCCTCCCACTTGACTTCAAAAGACACAAAACACACGTAATACAGATCAAAATGCATCATCTTCAAAACGCAAATTATTTGTAAAGTTGACACAAAATTATAACCTATAATTTGGCAAGACTTTGACAAGCGTCAAAAATGACAAAAATCTAAAGGCGAGTTCATACGCATACGTCCGTTTGTCGTTCATCGTTCCGTCAAACCAATAAAATTGAAATTAGGTTCAGAGTTCATATCGAACAGTCATACGAGACGGTCGTGCTTTCGTTTCGTTTGTGGACCGCCGGTATTGAACGTTTGTTTTGTTTTGTTTTGTTTGGATTTGTCGTGTATTTAATTCGGTCTTATTGACAGTTCAGTTCGCTAGTTTTCGCTGAACGTGCGTTCTGCTTTATTTTATATAATTATTTTTATATAGATATTTTTTAAACGTGACCTAACTTCCGTTGACATTGACGCACTCTTTTTATTATTGAACCATATATTGTTTAATTTAATATTTTCCGATTTTGCTGTTCCTTTACACTTCCAAATGGCAGATTTTAAGTGTGATTCGTGCCAAAAAACCACCTCGAAAGGACAAATATAGACTTCGTTGTAGTGGGGAGTGCCGCCGCAACTTTTGTATGACCTGTACTGGGCTGGACAAGACAACCACAAAAGTGATCCACCAGCAAAAGTTCAAAAATATTAGGTTTTTCTGCAATGTTTGTGATTCTCCCACGATGAAGTATCTCCATGACAAAGTTTCACAGCTTCAGAAATCACAGATCCCTCTAGAAACTGTTGAAGGTCTGGGAACCTGTTTAAAAAGGAACAACGACCTGCTTCCAGTCATAACTGAAATCTATGACATATTGAGTTATCATGACTCCAAATGGAAGTCTTTATACAAAAAAATGGATGATATTCACTGCCACCACTCCAAAATTTCGGAAAATGGTCAACAATCTTTATTTCATTCGATCAGTGAAATAAAACAAGAAATACTCAACCTATCATCCATTTTTATGGACTTTCAGGATGAGTCTGTTAGGGTCCAGGTTCATGACTCTTCAAAGGTAGATCTTTTGAAGGAAGTCAGTGAGCTGCGTAGGAGCGTAAATCAGATGGCAACCACAATAGAAAAGTTTGCTGCCCAAGGCAAGCAAAATAATAGGAGTAGCCCACCAGCAATAAAAAAGTCAACTTCGACTCAGACAGATTGCCAAGCCTCAGTGGGTGTCACTTCTTCTAAAGTCAGTACTCCCCCACCTCACAAACCCTCCATTAGAAAAGCCTGGCATTATGTCGTTGTGTCCAATATCCCATCTCCCTTTACGGCAAACCAACTGGCTCACTATATCAAGGATAAACTTGGAACTTCGGACTTTATTCGTTGCTTTCCTATGCTTAATAGTGAGGACAGTTCACTCTCAAAATTCAAAGTTGGAGTGCAGAATATAAGGCACCTAGAGCGGCTGCTTGATATAAGTATGTGGCCCCCAGGAATTGAAGTAGTCAATAGCAATGTCCAACCATCTTTGACTCCCTCGGAGGTATCGCCGCAAAAATCAAGATCTTCTGCCATGGGATTTCAACAGCCTAAGATTTCCACTTTGGAGAAACGAAGCCTTCCACAATCTTCCAATTTACCTACAGATCTAGCCAAGGAGGTCAAATACGTTAAAATTGGTTCAGACAGGGAGGCTATAGCTGCGAGTAAGTCCTTTGGGCAGCAGGAGGCGAAAAATATTATCAATAAGCATCCAAGGGAAGGTGAGGTGCTGAGTTTGGACCCAATGACTCCACCTATTGTGCGGTTATCGCGTGAATCGGACACGGCCAATGGACGTTATTTGTTGGCGAGACTAAGGGACCCTTCGATATTGAAAGCTGTCAGGCTATTCCTTGCGTACCTCCATGACCAACCCCCCAGTGCGTGTTTTGAGGGACACACCAACACCAGCATCAAGTTGGCGCTAGCATCGGAAGGTCTCCCATGCGACATGGACTCCCTGCGCAAGTTGTTTTATCGCTTCCACGACGCGTATGGCATTGGCGTGGCTGAGGTTGAGGCAGATCTCTCCGCCTTCAGGACCTTTTTCTCATCAGAGAAGCTATTTCACCTTCAGAAGTCTAGGGAAAGCCACAGCAAGTATTTTTCCAGTGGCTCTCCATCTAAAAATAAAAATTTTTAATTCATTTGACGCGAACAGAGGATCAAGCACCCTCTGATAAATCGGACGATAGCAAGCTAGGTATTTTTCTTATCAATGTTCAGTCCTTAAGACACAAAACAGATGAATTATTTCTTTTATTGGAACAGCTCAAATTTCCTGAAATCATTGCCATAACGGAACATTGGTTAAATACCGATGAGCCCGTGTTTGTGAAAAATTACACAACAATAGCTAGATTTAATAGAAGTAATTTATCTCATGGAGGTACTATGATAATGTCTACCAACAAAAACCTTACGGCAATAACAAAATTTGATCACTTATTAGCCGAGAAAATGTTTGAATTTTCTATCATCTACCACATTGCTTATGACCTCTATATTGTTTGTATTTATAGAACACCTGACGCAGATATGCATATGTTCTTTCAGAAATTACTGAGTTTGCTAGAGTCCCTGCCTGTGAATAGCAGGTTGATCTTGTGTGGTGACCTTAATATTGACTTCTCCAGTGTGTGTGATGCTCGGGAATCTCTCCAGTCTATCTTCGAGACTTTTGGTGTAGTAATGCATGTTAATGCACCAACAAGAATCACTAGAACTTGTTCTAGTACTATAGACTATGTCGTGTCATCCTTTGATCCAGAATTGGTTGACTGTACTGTGTTGAACTCAGGCTTCTCTGATCATGAAGGAGTATTAACAAAATTTTCCATAAAATCCGAGTAGAAACACTTTTAAATTAGGACGTATTTTTCGGGAAAAAAACTTTATAAATTTTAACGCTTTGTCTAACAACAGATTGGCATGTCATCTCTGGTGATGTAGACACTGAATTTTCCAATTTACACAAACATTATCTGGTCTGGCATCAAAGCCTTTCCTCTCAGGCCTATCAAAATTAAACATCATAAACCCTGGACACTAAGGGCCTACGTACATCTGCAAAAACATGCGCTCTTTATCTCACCTAAAAAATTCTCGGATAGTGTCTTCTTTCACGAGTACGTGAAACTTTACAGGAAAATTTACCATAAGACTATAAAGCCGCCAAGGACATCTATTACAATAGGAGGTTGACTGAGTCCGGTAATATTGCCAAAAGAAACATGGTCGGTGTGAATGACTGAGGAGTAAGGTTTCTTCGTCCAACATAACCTCAACTTCACCTGAGGACCTAAGCAATTACTTTGTAAATGTGGCGAAGAATATAGTAGATACTATCTCACCCTCCCTGGATCCTCTATCATTTCTCTCTGACTATAATGTTAATTTGCACAGTTTCTTCCTTACGCCTGTGGGGTTGTGAGCTTGCAATACATTAAATGATATTAAAAATGGCCTTGGGACTGACGGACTTACTCTTAAAATGTTCTCTAGTATGCCGGAATGTACATTAAACCATCTTTCAGCCTTAATTAATATGTCATTTGAAGATGGTGCTTTTCCAAATTGCCTTAAGTCGGCGATAATTATTCCTTTGCATAAAGGAGGTGATAAAACAAACTTCCAACTATCGTCCAATTGCACTCCTTCCACGTATCGAAGATCATGGAGGAACTAGTTAAAAAGAGGCTTGTATCATTTCTTCTAAAATACAAAATACTCACCCCCTTTCAGTTTGGGTTCTTGAGTAACAAATGTACAAAATGACGCTATGTTTTTCGCTGTTTAATAATGTATACTCAGTCTGAACAACCGTCTCGTTACAGCAACAATTTTCTGTGATTTCTCGAAAGCTTTCAGTTGTGTTAAACAACATCTAACTAACAAATTACCCATTACTATGGTATCAGAACGCCTCTTGAATGGTTTTAAGTCCTACCTTAACAACAGAAACCAGCGCGTGTGAGTTGATAAGACTGTGTCTTCTTACCAGGCCAATAGAATGCACGGTACCTCAGGGCTCAGTGCTAGGTCCTATTTGTTTCTGTTGTTTATCAACGATATTGCTAGTCTGGACATCAGTGGTAAAATCTGTCTCTTCATGGATGATGATACTTGTTTCACATGGAACAGCCCGGACACCACAACTTGCCCTAGCCAGAACCATTTCAGTGACTTAATCAACATAAAACATGGTGCGATTCTAATTATCTGTGTCTCAACGTCTCTAAAACTAAAGTCTTATCATATAAAAAGTACGTTGCTACCTTTCAACTTGATAATACCACCATTGACGTCGTTGATTCATAATATTGAATTACAGAGCCTTGTTGTGGACAACTATTTAAAATGGGATTTGCACATCGATGCTTTAGCTAAAATTAAGTTCTGCCTGTTTCGCACTTAGATCCAGTTGCTAATGTGCTTAATTTGTCCAACATCTAGGACAGTCTATGCCCTTTTTGAGTCGCATCTCGATACGCACTTCCATTCTGGGGTGCGTGTTGTGCGACCAATTTGACGTATCTTCAAATTACAAAGAGAGCTGTGCGATATTCACTGAGGCTAACCAGTCGTGCTCACTGCCGGGACTTGTTTCCAAGATATAAAATATTAACTCTTCAGCTATTCATACTCGAATCCGTCTGCCCTAGTTCGCAAGCGTATCAGTATTTCTCTAGGAGCCAGTTCATGGCTATCCAATCAGGAACGCAGAGCATAACATGTATCTGCCAACCCCTCACTCTGAGTTAGTAAGAGTTCCATATTGTACAATGCAAAAAAAATGCACAATCATCTGCCATCTGAAATTAATTCCATTTCATCCTTTCCTGCATTTCACCCAGAACCTTGAGATCATACTTACTGGAGAAAGCCTTTTTACGCGGTTAACGATTTTTTTATTAATATCTAGGGTTCTAAATTTAACACACATTCACTAAATTTAAGAAATGATTTTGTTTTCTATCCATTTAAATTTAGTATTGACAGCTATATGGATTGTTTATTTACATGTATGTTTATATTTTATTTATATTTAATTAAATAAATTTTTGACAATGTACAATTTCTATAATTGTATAAAGTATTGTTTTAGTTTTGTATGTTTGCTGTTAGTTTTATATGTTTTTCTATTGTTAAGTGAAGTTTTGTATGTTTTTTATATTCTTTTTTTTTAAGCTTTGTCAACAAAATTGTAAAATTTTTTATGACAATAAAGCAATTTCTTTCTTTCCGTCAAACCAATAAAATTGAAATACGATCTGTAATTTTTTAAATAAACCAATAAAACTGGTTAAAAATAACAAGACACGACGCATGACGGATTTATATTTAAACCCATCCATAGATAACTTAAAAATTATTAGAAACTTTTTTAGTAAAATCGTTGAATAAGAAGACTAAGGAAGGAGCATAATGCTATCCATGTATTCATGCATGGTGGGCGGAAAAACGACCATAAAAGCACTTTAGGGTGGGGATCCTTGACAGTTCTGTTTGACGATTCATTTGACACATTTGAATTTGATTTGAAATTTTGTGGATTTGTCAGTCTTTACGGAGCTTATTTTATGTTATTTATTATTTATTCTACTACTGATAGTTGTATAAAGGTGAAGTAAATCTAGATGAAAATTGTGGCAGAACTTAAATTAACAGTGACACTATCATGATTTATGGAAAAGACTCTAAAATAGTTGGTTGTGTAGCGTGCATTAGATCTCGGCAATTAATTGAAATAATGGAACAACTTTTTCGCTAGTAAGTGATATGACTAATATACATACGTGTAGTAAACCGATCATTTATGAAATTCACTTAAATTAACTAAATTATATATTTTCTTGCATTTTAGCTTTTATTTATTACTTGTCAAGATTAGATGTCAAGAATTTAGATACGTTAATTTGACTTACCTGCTTCAGTAGCGTATCAGATGTTTGTGTTAATAAATACTTATTATAACACATTTTCTATTTTTATTAGAATTATATATTTTTTATAACAATTTTAATAACTACCAACATTTATTCACAACGTAAAATAAACAACAAATTATTGAGTCTACCCCACGTCTACCCTACATCATAGTTTTACATTTTTTAAATAAAATTAGAACGACACTGATAAACCGGAATTTAATTCGGCCATATTTGAGGCCCATCGCGGTGTACCTAAGATTTCTGATATGCTCCTTCCTTAGTCTTCTTATTCAAAGAGTAAAATAAATAAATTGGTATGGGACGTCATCTGCTTTTCTTCTGTCATCGTCTGTCGAAATCTTACCTGAGAAAAAAAACAGAGTATACATATCAGCGACCCTGTATTGACGCGCACATCATCTTTTATTAATTTTCCTATACAGGGCGGGTCTTAAATAAGTTCAAATATTTTTAGAGGTGGTATATTTCAACCCCAGGAACACGTCTATGATGTTTTTTGGCAAAAAAGTATGTCGAAAATCGTGCATTTACTTTTAAATTTTCCTGTATATTTGAGAAAACTTTTTAGAACTGCCGATGCCGGTTTACCTCAAATTTTCTCATGGCATAATTTTTAAAATTGAATAACTCGGTTATTTTGGACTTGAAAAATGGCAAAAAATATGTATCTTTTATCGAGATTTGTTAGTGATGAAAATATTTGCAGTTCTTTAAAACTATTTTAAGACTCACTCTGTATATCAATTTCAGCAAAAAACAACTTTATATTTTTTATTCAATTTAATAAATAATTTTTAACTTGTAGAGGGCAAGGGTCTAGCTGTAGCCAAAGACTGCAAGTTTATAGAAACTTCTAGCGGAATCCAGCACAACGTAGACGAGCTTCTAGTAGGAATCTTGAAACAGATCAGACTCAGAGAATCCCTGGAGAAGAAGAAATCGATGACCAAAGAGAAGAGCAAGATGAAAGGCTCCAAAACGAGTCTGAGGCTGCACTTTGCCAAAGAGATTTTGCAGAAGATCTGTCTGAACGATATCAGTAAGTCCAAGAGTTGCGAAAACTTACATGTTCTGTAAGAGTTGAGGAGGAAAGGTGTGCCAAATAAAACACAAAGGTTTATAGAATAAGTTTATAGGTATATCAGTGTGTTAAAAACATACAGATGGTAATCATACCTCTTAGATCATAATATATTTCCGTGGATATATCAACGCCATAATATACTGCTAATATATTTCTACTAGTTAATGTTTTTTTTTTTCAAGGTTATAACGCTTAGGCATAAAAGTGAAGCACTTTTACGCTTAGTATATTATTAAACTGGCATTAAGTGTCAAATTCAATGAGTGTAACCATAGTTTTTCGATATACAGGGTGGTCCAAACTGTATTTCGGAAACTTCGGCAGCATATTTTGCAGATAAAAATAAGTAAAAAAGTTCGTATAAATGCATGTCCTGAAATGCTTAGTTTCGGAGATATAGGGTGTAAAAGTTTCATTTTTATTTCGAATTTTTTACAAATAATTTCTGAGGTAACATCAATATTGGGGTGAAAATTGGTGTCTGGGAGTTTTTTGACATGAGAAATTTGATTTTGATCTTAATATGACTTCTACTTGTAGAGGGCACTACCTATATATTTTTAACTGGTTTGAAGAGTAATAACTTTTCGTCCGTACCTGTATAAAAGTACTGAGTAAAAAATATACAGTGGTGGCCAAAAGTATAGAAACATTTTTAATTTGTCATTTATGCTGAGAAATTAAAATATGAAATAAAACGACTTATATAATCGTGACCTACAAATAATTTCCTACAAAACCTAATACATTTAAATAAAAAATTACAGCTATCAAAAAATATATAAAAAATTATGAATATTTTCTTGGTCAAAAGTATGGAAACTTAAGAAGAATGTTTATTAAAATTCAAGATAATATAAAAATTACTAATATTTAGTGGAATATCCCTTTGAATTAATTATTTCTCTACATCTTCGTGGCATCGAATCGATCAATCTCGTACAATCTTTACTGGAAATGGCCGCCCATTCAGTTTTTAGCACTTCCCATAATTCATTTTTATTTGAAATAGAATGGCTTCGAATTTTCCTATCCAAATGGTCCCATAAATTTTCTATGGCGTTAAGATCCGGAGACTGTGAGGGCCAATCCATTAGTGGAACATTATGTTCATTTAACCAATTTTGAACAAACTGAGATTTGTGCTTGGGATCATTGTCTTGCTGGAACAACCATCTGAGTGGCATTTCTTCATCAGCATGAGGCAGCATATTATTATCCAATATGTCTTTGTACAAAAAACGGTCCATTATCCAACCTGAGCGAGAGGACCAACACCTGAGCGAGAAAAACACCCCCACACCATTATACTCCCACCCCCATGTTTTACTGTGAGCATCTGGTACTTATGGCTGTACCGTGTACCTTTTGGTCTTCGGATATAACGTCTCCCGTCACCACCAAACAGTTGAAACTTGCTTTCGTCGCTAAACAGTACATTCCATTTCTGATAAGACCAGGTGAGATGATCTTGAGCAAATTTAAAGCGGGCCATCCTATTTTTCTTTGATATTAGTGGTTTCTTCACCGCGACTCTTCCAAAAAGTCCCATGTCATCCAACCTTCTTCTCACCATGCGTGCAGACACCGATATTCCCCTTTCACCCATTTCTCGAGAAATGTCTGTGGATGTTTTTCTTGGATCTCCCATTGATATTCTCTTCGTTACTTTCATTGTCCTGTTGCACAACTTTCTTGGTCTTCCTGACTTAAAAGCTGTTGAAACGTTCCCTGTTTTATTAAATTTACGAATTATTTTCGAAACGGTGCCTTTTAAAATGTTTAAATTTTTACTTATTTGAATTTGTTTATAACCACTCTTGTATAATTCAACTATTTTATTTTTTAAATCCGTAGAGAAATATTTAGACTTGGGCATGATGTTTATATTTATCTGAACAAATCGTACCGTTTATCAGCTTAAACTAAATAATTTTAATGTATTTATTTATGGTTTCCATACTTTTTGGCCACACAAGAAATCTATTGTTCTCCTACAAAAACTGCTAAACAGATTTTTTCGCTTTGTAATTTTTGGAATACTTTTATTTGCTGATAAGCTGTTCATTTATATTCCTAACCCCCGGTGTTTTTCAGGTACAGATAGCGCGTTATAATCCGCCAGATATATTTTATTTTGATGGATAGCAGAAAAAAGTGTATCATTCACCTATAGATACCAATATCTATTAGATAAAATAACCTTATCCATCAGATATCCCTATTTGGGACCTGAACTGCCAAATATCGTGCTTTGGTTTGTCGGATGTAAATTCTTACTACATTAGCAATACCTGTCATTGACATAAACACGTTGACTAAATAGTTATTAGATTGAAATCATAAATTTGAAATGTATGTATGCCAAATGTTCAACAGAAACTGTTTTATCATCATTTATTCGAAGAAAAATTTAAGATTTGATTTAAAAAAAGAAGAAGTTCCCAAATTTATCATTTTTGTCAACTATCTACTTTTATGTCTATTTTTTGTTAATAATGACATGTATCGACTATTTTCATTCTAAATATCTTGAGAACGGGTGCTTGTAGCGATTTTTACCAAGAGACGTTTTTTCCGTAAAAATTTCCGGAAATATACATTTTTTCATGTTAAAACACATGTAGGTGGCGCCTCTTATAAATAGGAGTCATATTGATATCAAAATCAAATTTCCTATGTCAAAAAACTCCTAGACACTAATTTTCATTCAAATATTGAAGTTACTTTAGAAATTATTTGGAAAAAATCGAAATAAAAATGAAATTTCTACACCCATCTCCGAAACTAAGCATTTTAGGACATACATTTATACGAACTTTTTTACTTATTTTTATATGCAGAATATGCTGCCAAAGTTTCCGGAATACAGTTCGGACCACCCTGTACAGGATGTCCCATTTTGGTTGAAATCATACGGTATCTCCGTTATTATTGAAGATAGAAGGATGCGGTTTGCACAAACCTGTCTCACTTTTTTGTCAAACGGAAGATGCCGTAAACAAAATTTTCATAGCCTTCTTCGTTTCCGAGCTACAGGGTCTTTTTGAAAATTTTGCAATTTGGGACACCTCCTGTATCTCTATTATTGTTAAAGCTATCGAGAAGGTGAAAACTGTTTATTGTAGAACTTTTTACGTAGAATACAGTGGCGTAGTCTGTTTTTCTACAAAAAAAATATTTTTGAAAATATGAACTAAAGTTATGTTTTTTTAAATGGATCACCCTGTATATTTATAAATCATATGATCTGTCTTGGCATAAGCTTCTCAAAAATACATATCACTCTATATTTATTTTCACTATTTACTGCAATATTTAAAAGTTTTTATTAAAAGATCATATTTATTAGTAGGCCATGATTGATAATAAAAGAATCTAAAGAATTATTAAAAGTATACTGCTATCTGTCTTTTGTTTTATTTTGGGAGCCGCTAATAAATTCTTTATATATTAGGGAAACTTAAGTCTCTACCGCTATTTGTAAATCTTGGAATACGTGTATACGTAAGACTAATCTATCGTATCGGAAATTTTAGATATTCCTTTAGCTAATTTACGTCAAATATACTTTCAGCAAGATGGGGAACATTCCCCCACATAACTATGGAAATATTAGAATACTGTTAAATTATTATTTTTCAAATCAATGAATTGGAACCAATGAACACATATTGATAGCCTCCTCGATTCCCGGATTTCGTCGTTCTCGATTTCTGATTTTGAGGATTTTCGAAATACGAAATATATCGTGGGCACTACAACAATTTCGAACACCTGAAAAATGCTTTAATAATTCAAGATTTAGATATTTGCAAACCCATCCCGTTATAAAAAAAAGAAAAATATATTCACAGTTTCAGTGGTAACAGTTATTTCAAAAGTAAAATATATCAATCCCAAATAAATTTTAATATATGTATGACTATTTTAGTAAATATTTCATTTTGATTTTTTGTTATTTATCACAGCCTACTAATAAGAAAATGATATATTTTAAATATTGCAGTAAATAGTGAAAATAAATATAGAGTGATATATATTTTTGAGAAGCTCGTAGCAAGACAGATCATATGATTTATAAATATACAGGGTGTTCCATTTGAAAAAACATAACTTTAGTTCATATTTTCAAAAATATTTTTTTGGTAGAAAAACAGACTACGCCACTCTATTCTACGTAAAAAGTTCTACAATAAGCAGTTTTCGCCTTCTCGATACCTTTAACAATAACAGAGATACAGGGGGTGTCCCAAATTGAAAAATTTTTGAAAAGACCCTGTAGCTCAGAAATGAAGAGGGCTATGAAAATTTTGTATGCAGCATCTTCCGTTTGACGAAAAAGTGGGACAGGTTTGTGCAGACCGCACCTTTCTATCTTCACTAATAACGGAGATACCCTATGATTTCAGCCAAAATGGGACACACTGTACAATTACTTTAAATATTTTTATATAATATAATTTGCAATATTTGAAATTTCTACAAAAATATATTTGTGACGTTTGAAAAAAATAATAGCATATTCTATTGGGAGTAAAAATGTACTTTTCGTGCCTCGCCTGTAATGTCGTCGTCATACAGCTTCGCCACAAAAAATATAACTTTTACTCCTAATAAAACCATAAATCCATTAACCCCCGGTGTTTTCAGGTATAGATAGCGCGTTATAATCCGCCAGATATATTTTATTTGATGGATAGCAGAAAAAAGTGTATCTTCACCTATAGATACCAATATCTATTAGATAAAATAACCTTATCCCTCAGATCCTATTTGGGACCTGAACTGCCAAATATCGCTTTATTTGTCGGATAAAAATTTGTACATGGGGAATTTTGATTTAATTTAATAAAATTGCTTAACATAACCTAAGACATTGTTACTATTGTGAATTTCGTTCAATTCAATAAATTCGATTTTAGATTATTTCGAAAGACTTACCTATTCTGGTACAGACTATAACCATTTTAGAAGGTGTGAGGTATAAAGT